CTCTTGATAACCTACCCATGGCGCGATCTTGGGGATACGGAAGATATTGCCAACGAGGGGTAGAGGCGGAGGTCCGGGAGGCAGGGGTCCCGGGACAGAGGATGCTGATCTGTATAGGAAAATCAGGAGGATGGCTAGGGCCGCAAGGCCGGAAGACGCAACGAGACTGAGAGAGAAGATCATGATAGAGGCCGGATGTGGGGAGTCGATATGAGGACGGATGAGTCCAGTGGTTTGCCATCTGTGCTTTTAAGAGCCGCAATGCATTCAGTGGAAACTGCGCCCAGATCTATAGAGCGAGCCCAACTCACTGGTGATGTCCCCGACTCCCTCACATATGACATTTGAGCGGTTGGATAATCGATGAACACGCTACCGGTGGTGCCTTCTATCGCGCCCCATGCCTTCTGCGCTCTCACGCATCCTCTCAATCTTCAGAAAGGCGGCAGATGCTCCCCTGTCCTGTGGGCGGTGACGGGTCAAATAAGCCTTTCGAGGAGCCATCACCACTTCGCTGCCAGTGCAGACCTGATACGTTCTGACGACATCCTCCCTCCGAAGATCACGAATGACTGTAATACGTCAACGAATCAGATTGAAACATATGAGGATCAACATACAGCCTTCCGCCCAAAGCGAAGCACCAAGACTTCCAAGCTTCACAGAATGGGCGTGTATCGTTCAGCGGGACTACCGGTGCTATTATCGGCCCATATCAGCGCCAAGGGTGAACACAGAAGTGCGACCCTGTGAACATCTGGTCAGAGCGATTGAACGGTGAAGGGATGCAGAGGCTCACATGTGGCCCGCCTGACTTATTCGACACTGTTCTTCCGCACTAACCAGTATTGCAGGACGCCTGCTAGCCTGTGGACGCCATGAGGCTGTGATCGGAATGGTATCCGATCCCCTAGTTTGCAGTCCATCCACTGCTGTTTTGGCGAACGAGAGTTAAGCTCGCTATCTGTATGGATGATCTGCTGCAAACGCTTCAGAGGACTGAATAGTCGAGCTTGAATCTGCTTACCGTATTTCAGAATAAGGCACCCGCTGGGCCGCTGATACACCGCATACCGCCAATGCGGCAACACACAAGCCTGAGTAACTGTGGCAAGAACCACATGACGAAGCAGAAGCCGATGGCTCCCGGAATGGAGGAATCCTATCCACAACGCATGGGTGCCGACGGCCCAGGAACGTAGCGATGCGCAGAATGGCCAAAGAGCATCTCGAACTACCGTTTTGAATCTTTGAAGCGGATTCACTTCTGTCATATCTCGATGAACGTTTGTCAAGATCTTCGAGAATTCGGATGACTTGAGTGGCGCCCTATGCCGAGACCGATGGTCGCTGACAGTGGAGATTACGAGCACGATAAAAATCAGTCTACCCGCTGAGCCTCAAACGAACTCGCCTACACACCAATTCGTCTGGCCCCTCCGCTATGCACATAGCAAAAAACAACATCACGAACCACTGCCATGGTTCCGAACCAAACTGAATTTTTGATGCGGCTATAATACAAATTCAAATGCAAGGAAGATGCGTGCATATTATGCTACAAAGGGAAAACACACAGTACAAGTACAGTGGTCGACGATCATGTCATCCCAGCTCAAGCGATCGTGATCTTCTTCGGCGCTTGCTCGGGCGTCGTCCTCGGGAAAGTGACGCTCAGAACGCCATTCTCCATCGTTGCCTTGATCTCCTCAGGCTACGGATCGACTCGTCAGTACCGATCACATACACATTGTGCGATAGAAGAGATAAGCGAAACTAACCTTGATTCCCTGAGGGACGGGGAGAGCCCGCGAGAACTTGCCGTAGCGGCGCTCGCGGACGGCGTAGCCCTTCTCGTCGTGCTCGGATGAGATGGAGGACTCGCCGGAGACGGTGAGGACGTTGTCGCGCAGGTCGATGCTGACCTTATCCTTGGTGAGGCCTGGGAGCTCGAACTGGGCCGTCACTAGGTTCTTCTCTTTGTCCTCATGCAGATCCATCCTACACAATCGTTCAGTCAGCATTTGATTCAACGAGGACAAGAGATGGGAAGCGAAGACAAAGGAGTCTATAGGTACCTTCGGCGCAATGGTCTGGATGCGGCGTTCTCGTTCTGACCACGCTGGCTGACCGCGTTCGACGTGCGTGCGTTGAACGCCTCGTCGAAGAGCCGATCGAAGTCAGAGAGGGAGTAGAACGGCTCGGTGAAGAAGGTGAGAGACATGTCGGAGGTGGTGCGGAAGCGTGAAAGGGTGATGGAAGTGCTTAAGAGTGATGCGAATACGAGTACGATGTGAATGTTTGTTGGGGAGACAGGCAGAGAGGATGCAGGGTTATTTATCTTCCTTGTAGCTAATTGACGTGGTCGGGACGCTGAAAGTTCGAGAAAAGGCTAGTTGCCGAAGTAGGTCATGACACGCAGCAGAGGCATTCTTGAGCCGACAAGGACGCAGAATGACGCAGACTATGCGGTACGTCCATTCCCACTCGAGAACGTTTGTGGACCTTCCCGTTAAGATTGGGCAACTCCAGAGCGTCGATTCGCAGCCTAGGCAACATAGCAAGTCCAGAATCCAAATTCGGCGTTCATCTACGCTTTCGACGCTCCATAGGCCGATAGGAGTGCGATTATGACCGAGTGTATGACAAGAGCTCGAGTACGTCGCAGTCCAGAGCGAGAGCAGAGCTGGCGATAGACTCGGCGCCACACACACGGGATCCGCCGGGGTTGATGGCTGTTTGTTCTCTTTTCCTGATTTGCAACTCAACGCTGAAAAAGCGCCCGTTCTCGATTGTTCTCGTAAACTGCGCTGCCCCTTTCTTGCGTTGACTAGCAATTTCCGTAAGCCTTCGCGCTTATTCTGGCACTATCCTAAGAATGCGGTCATGAGCCTGCAGAATGGATATAAAGCAGAGTCTGTTGACCTTCGCTTCCCACTGACTAACGACTATACAACACTCGCATAACTCGGCATAGCTCTTCTGCTCCTGACCGCACTTGTCTCTTACCACATGTCGCTCGTCAATTTCTTCAACAACGACCCATTCTTCTCCGAGTTTGACCGCCTCTTCGACGAGGCGTTTGCTCGTCGCACCGGCGGTGGGAACACCCAAGTCCAGCGTCAGTCTGGCAACGACGCGCCGCGCGTTCTCCGCCCAAGGTAAGCATCACTGTGTAGCCTCAACTGCTTTCGAACTCTGTCACTTAGTTGCACTTCTCAGGGTTGATGTACACGAGGACAAAGAGAAGAACGTCGTCACCGCGACGTTCGAGCTCCCTGGCATCAACAAGGAGAACGTGAGCATCGATGTGCAGGACAACCTCCTCACCGTCTCAGGCGAGACAAAGTTTGAGTCGAACCGCGACGAGAATGGCTACGTCGTCCGGGAGCGTCGCTTCGGCCGCTTCTCGCGTTCACTCCCTGTCCCTCAGGGTGTCAAGGTAAGCACTCTGCGACTATGGATGCCACGAGCATTCAGCTGACCTATCTCTAGCCTGAGGAGATCAGGGCGTCGATGGACAACGGTGTGCTCACCGTAACGTATCCGCGCCAGACTGCAGAGCAGCTCCCGAAGCGGATCACCATCTCATAAATGCGGACTTGGAGATTCCTCACATCAACTGTAGCATACCCTCGTCGACATGCTTTCGCTGTATCACTGTATGGTTCCGTTTCAAATGATCAAATAGTCTCTTAGCATATCGGATTGTATTTACCTCCAATTTTTCAGTTACAAGCAAAGGTTGGAGGCGTGCCGGACCGAAGTATTACGATGATAGCGTGGGAATTGAGCGACGAGACGCGTCGCGTTGATAGGCATATGACCGCGTTAATTTCGCTGTCCCACCCTATAGAGCCCTCCTCGGATGCAGTATTGCCGCGACCTTGACTGCTACTACTGCTACCACCGTTTTTTTCATTGCAAACATTCGAACGAATACTACGGTCACGGTGCATAACCAGACGGCAAAGAGAGCGTTGACTTGGCAAGAGGTTTTTGAAGGTATGCTCAGACTCAGTTCTCTCATTCGCCTATACTCCAGAGGAGCGGCTGCACCTTTTGAGACATACCTTGGCGTAATGGATTCAGACTCGCGTTGGTGTTGTGTTCCTCTCTCTATAAGCTTGATCATAAAATAGCTCTGCTATAAATCTGCCCCTGTAGCGCCTCTGCTGATATCTGTCTTGTTGCCATGAACGTTTGTGTACGTCTTCCGGCATTGCGAAAGCCTCGACCGGACATCCGGATAGCATTCGAAAGGATACAACACCCTGGAGACCAACTACGTATTCTCCAGGCGACACTTAAAGTCGAGTATCTGGCGTTCCAGAGAGTATCACGGTCAGTGCGCTGGCTTCCCGGCCCTGCGACGGACTGACATAGTCCCCAGATCCACAAGGAGCGAGCTATCAGGCTTTACCGTCTAGGCGCACAAGATCTGGACGACGTCCATTTGTCAGATGGGTTGTATGTCTATCCGCGAGCTTCGCTAATGCATGTCTCGCTGAACTCAGTCAGAAGCAATCTCAACATTGGATGCTATTTCAACTCGTACAAGGAGCGTGCTGTAGAATGGAAAGCATGTGAGATTCACGGAGGCCCGGCCAAGTACTGGAAATTGTGAGTCCTCGAAGCCATGTTGCCTTCTCGCACCTCACAGCTCCTTCCCTTTTGGTAGCCTGAAAGCGGAGTCAAAGTGTCAAGGTGCACCTCCGAGCAATCTCCTCCCCTATGACTACAGCCAGAGACGCAAGTACGATCTCAACCTCCCATATCCACCCTTGCCCCCCGACCGCTACGTTGGTGACTCGTCGCGCCTTCGCCACGCCAAAGCGTGCCTCGACCCATGGGTGTGGGACACCTGCAACGCCGTGCTAAATGACGTCTTCCTCGGCGGCCGCTTCCCTATCCCTCCTGACGACTTAAACGAAGATCGTAGGACCGCCATGAAGCAGGCTGTCCTCTTCGTCAAGTCACAATCCCCTATTCATACTAGACGCGTCAAGAAACCACTCGGCCGCTATCCCTCTATAGTGCTGTTGTGAGAGTTCCTCGCAAAGTCACCGAAGGCACCCGCGCTCGGAGCTACGGAATACGGCTCGCCTGGAGCAGGGCTTCGTTTCCTTAGGAAAGGAATGAACGGCTACTACGGTTAGGACAAGAAATACCTCGGGCGTGTCTTTACCGCTGCGTGTGCCGTCGTGAGAGAGCTCGGTACGGGTGTCAAGGGCTGGGGCTCAGCACGTTGGGAGGTCTACGATGAGGTACGTACTACCGCTCTACCACGGGAGATCGCTTCCCGGTCGTCTGCTCCCCCTGAATGCTGCTGTCAAGTACACAAAGTCGCTATACTGCGGGCTCTGGTACTGCAGTGTGCATGAAGCGTGGTCGGACGACGCGGCCATGGCGTGGCTGAGGGGCGGGCTTCCAGTAGAGGATATGTCCGACCATATACGCGGCTATTGCGGAGCTGGAGTCGAGTTCAACGGCCTTCTTTTGGAGACGCCATCTCAGTCGCGGCCCAGTTCTGCCTCGTAACGGCCTCCCCACTCGCAGTCCAAGGTTCGTTCTACAAGCTCGATGTGAAACCCTTGCGACTGGTGTGCGCCCCCTTCTCTCGGAGCCCACCCGCCTACATGCGGCATTGAATTTTGCGGAGCGTTGACAGGAGGGAAAGGAGACTACTCAGTAGCATCGTTCCTCCGTTACAGCACTCCTATCAATCGGCACTCACAGAACGATGATAGAATTGTTGGCGTGCCTGCGTAGTCTGTCAACTAGTCTGTGAGTGTCGTGACTAAGAAAAGCTGCTAGTCCCCCGGGAATAACATACAGGACCGCCGACACGTACGCTCCGTCTCTTCGTTGTCTGATTTCAATTGCGGTCACCGTCTGTCATTAGGATTTGAATGTCCGACCAATGCGCCCTAAGCCCTGAACACTCAAGGGCACTGCCTAGGGCCGCTGCCGATGTCAGACCAGAGGGACTCTACTCTTGCACTCATTGCTCTCCGCTCACCCCCAAGCTGTTCACCGCGACAGAACAGGGGATTATAGATCAGACTTACAGGTGAGCGGATTCCAACAGGGATTCGGTTCGCGGGCCGCCAGGAGAGGGCGCTCCGAAACCTTCCCACGATCCTGTTCTCTAGACTATAAGTAGAGTCTCGCGCCGGCGATGCTCTGGACTTGACTTCATCAGAAGTACTGACCATGCTGTTCGGATATCCAGTACTTCATGTCGCCTCGGAAGAGAAAAGGAAAGGACAGAGAAGAAGGGAAACGCAAACGACGCAGGGTTGACTCCGAGGAAGACTGTCTCGAGGATGGCAGAGGCGATGCTGGTTCATCCGCGTCTGGCCTGGATACCTATGGTTGGGAGACGGCAATCCCGGAGGACTGGACGGTAGGTCAGATCATAAAGTGAGTATTCCTCCACTGAAGGATGTCTCGTAGATCTCGAAGGCGATGGCAATGCTCGACTACCGTCTGACTCATGCCGACTTCCAGAGCATCACGGCTCGTGAGAAGAAGCGGTAAGTCATCGTGTACCTCCTTCCAAATCACGCCTTAATGCCTGTCTCCGGTAGCACTGAAGAGGGAAGACATGCATATTACATTTACAACGAGCGAGCGGTCGAGTGGAAGGCTTGGGAAAAGCATGGAGGTCCCATCGGGTTATGGAAGTTGTAAGTCCTTGCATAATGCTACGCCCGACCACTGTTTCAACGCCTGAGGCACACGCTGACAACAGCCCAACACCCTAGCTTGAAGGCTTTAAAGAAGGAGCACGAAGCAAGCGGTAGCACGGACCCTTTCGACATTCCCTACAGCTATGCGGCCGATCGCCTATATGACCTCGACCTTCCCGAAACCCCTGAGCTCAGCGACCGCTACGTGGGAGATCTCCGTCTGCTACGATATGCGAAACAGTCTCTTCCTCCTTGGCTATGGAACGTCTGTAACTCGAAGCTCAACAAGGCGCTCCTGGACGGCAAGCGCCCAAACGGTTGCGACGACCTGACCGAAGAACGTCAAAGAGCCATCGGCGCACTTGTCTCTTTTGTGAATGAGAATCCTATACGGTACATAGAAAAACCTGCGCAAGACGTTGCCCCGTCCCTGTATATCGCCACACTCCGATCCGTCCTGGCAGCAGCTCCCATCGCTCCCCGTTTCGGTTCCCAGGCCTGGGGTACTCCTGTGGCCGGATTGGACTTCTGCGAGGCCGATGGTCATCCACGCTATGAGTGGTGTGCTAGCTATCTGCAGCGGATATTCAAGGCCTTATGCACCGTGATCAGTAAACATGGGATAGGCAATGAGGGTTGGAGGAGCATTCGTTGGGAGGTTTACGAAACTGTATTTCTGACCAGCCCCTCAGTATATCATGCATCCTGTCTGACCACTGTTCTTACAGTACGTGGAAACTGTCCGTGGAGGCCTCACATTCTACCGGGCACAAATGGAGTGGACGGACTATGCCGGTGTATGGCTGGACGCCCAGCTCTCCCCGAAGGACATCAAAGAGAGCCTTCGTGGTAAGTGTGAAGCCGGGATCCCTTACAACCAGTTGTTGCCATCCCCTGCAGCCTTAGAGGCGTCATCGTCCTTGCCTCCGCCGTCTGCCGCAGGACCCTCGTCCCCTGCCCCTTGCCCGGCGTCTTCACAGAAACAGACGGCAGGTCCCTCGTCATCCGCTTGCATGCCTTCCCCCCTGGTGGGTTGAAGCCTTATCTCCCTTGTAGTTACATGCATTTGGAGCGCGGTATAGTGCTGCGCTATGGTGAGATACTTACCTTTGACTGGTCACCTGCGCTGACTTCAGAAGCTAGATGAATTGTCGTATTTCTCTATTTATTTTTGCATCGCTATCTGATCCAATTCAGCTAAAATTATCTGGACTGCTCGTTCCTTCATCTCTGACGCCACACTTTCATCTTACTTGATGTCACCATCTGCTGACTGTTCCTCCTCGCGCAACGTCGTGATCATTACAAAGTCACTGTCACCATTGGTCTTCACGTCGCTGGACAAGTTTTCGTATTTTCCATCCGCCACAATTGACGTTGTGTATTCCGCCGCTTAAAGTCGGTTTGAATGTGGTCAGTGACACTGATAGTAGTATAAGCGCTTCGAATTATAGATAGACAGAGACAATTGGGTACTTGCCAGGATTGATGTATAGGATGTCTTGATGTCCGCCAAGCTTTGCCGCATACGTCTCGCTTTACCAAGATGTTACCCTACACAGTTCACAGGCTTGACTGCAGCTTCTGTGACTGGGGCCAAATAGCAACGCACGTATTCACTCTGATCAGTAGTAGTACAATCGGATATCCATCTGCTTCCTCTATAGTTCGGTCCCAATCATCTCGATACCGTTCAAGCATTGAACGGGATTGTTGTATGCAAGTCTGTCAAACAGTCCAATGGATGATATGTAAGTCAGATGTTGTGGATATTGATAAATTGTGGTCGGCGATCATAAGCGTCAAGTCCCTCAGCTCATAAACGTCCCGCGAGGTCGTCACCTCGTACCTTGTCGACTCAGAGCTACGTGGAAGGATGCGTGGTTCAAGATGTCCGCTGAGGGGCCTTACCGACACAGGCATCAACAGTCCGGACATCTGGAATATGTGATTCCAGTAATGCGGCCTCAATTTCGCTCAAGGGGAGCTTCGGATTAGACATGCAGCGTTCATCGACCATTCTTGATATTGCCACGCTATAGGAGCACATTTGCAAGAGGATGTCATATGAGAATTATCATCATTATTGGGACGCACGCTACGACTACGACTGGCGTGCCTCGAACGCCCGCACCTTGCCTTGAAGCCAGTCCCACAGCCGCTCACCGATCTCATCATTATAGCACTCCGGGTGAGCCCTTCCAAGGCGCGCCCATGGAATCAAGAACTACGACATGGATAATTAGTCCTCAGACAGCCAAGCATGGCGAGATGAGGCGTACCTCGCCATTGTAATTGAGTGCCTCGGGCATCGTGCCTGCGAAGAGCTGGGTCAGGACACCGTATTCGACCGGCTTCAGAAGCACAGCTTTCTATGAGGCGATTTGAAGATGAGTCAATATGCAAGTGGGGAGAGACAGAAACATACCAAGATCATATGTACGACTGCCGGGAAATGACGTTGGAGGGAGGTCTGAATGGTACCTGCAGTTCTCGCATAAGTACTTGGAGCTGTACAGATGCAGACGATTAGATGCCGACTCGGGTTAAGGGAGATGGATACGATGCCTTGATCTCCGTAGCGCTTTGCTACCTGTCGTGCAATCACAGCGTTACCCTGAAGTGGATCGACACTCATAAGCTGATGCGACTACGTCGGAGGGGCGGCATAGAACGTACGTGTTTGCTTTGATTGTACAATGCGGCTTTGCCCAACTTTATTCTCTCAGGGCCATCCTTGAACGTCTCGAAGTGAAGACGTTCCAGGTAGACACTGCTCGAGGACGTCGTGACGACGCGCGCGTGACCATCTGGAGAGGTTCTCACAGCGGCGAGAAGTGCCGGCATGAGCGACTCCGTCAAGTAGAAGTGCCCGAGGACGTGCGTTCCAAATTGAAGGTCGTACTCGTCTGTTGTCAACAATTCGACGGGAGGTACCATGACGCCGCTAGCGGTAAGGACCGTGTTCAGCTAGATATCACAGGCTACACAAGAAGGGATGTACGTACGCATTGTTGAATAGAATGTGAAGCTCCGATTCCTTGCTGAAGAACTCCTGGGCAGCCGCCTTCACCGAAGCCATACTTCCCAGATCGAGCTTGAGGAAGATGCCCTCCTTGCCCGTTTCCACCTTCAGCGAGGCGATGGCTGCGTCAGCCTTTTCTGGGCTACGAGCGGCAAGATACACTTTGGCATTGTGCTTCAGCATCTCCTACACCATGATGAAAGTGAGAACCATTGGCGTAGTTGGGAGTCCGGGTTCGCTCCGCACTTACCTTACAGGTCTCGTATCCGATACCGGAGTTCCCGCCTGTGCCAATTACGATAGTCAACCAATACTCAAACGGCCAAGGGTGTGAACGCACCTGTCACGAGGACAATCCGCCCCGTATGGTCGGGGATTTGGTCAGGGTGAAACTTGGGCTTCGGAGGGAAGCCCTGGACGAAAACTGGCCAGAAGCCCGAGTCTCTGGCCATGTTGACATTAATGCGCGGGCAAACGTAGTAGTATCAAGAGGTGTCAGGGAGGGTTTGGAGCTCAGTTTACGGTCCCGGCATTCGACGCAACAGATATATATACGTAGCCGCAAATCTGCCAGCTAACTTCTTCGCAGTGAACGTACCTGGATGAGTCTATCGTGCATTGTCAAACCTAGCAAGCATGTAGGACCTCTCTGCTTGACAGCAGCATTAGACGGCAACACTTAGGGCAAAAAGGGAAAAGGGAGACGCAAGCCTACGGCAGGACATGTTCTGGCTGAGCGCTTCGCCGTTATCCGGTCTCGGGGATACTGAAATCGGATTTCAGAAATGTTTGCCCGTCCGTTCGTGCAGCGGTCGCACAAATTTTGATGTAATCAAAACTGGTCACGACAACACCCTGGCCATCTCAGCAAGCTTCTGGCGGGGGAGGGGGACAGTAGACGTCACGCCCGAGGGGTGATGTGAGTGTCCGTCACGTTTGCGGGCTCGGCGCTGACGGTGGGGCCTCGTTTCTGAACCCCTGTATTTCTGTGCAACGACAAACGGCAATTTGTCAGTTCTAAGAGCCTGGTAATGGTAATCACCATGTTTGCGCTAGACTTCTATGAAAAGGCTGATGTGGAACGGGTATGTAGCACCAGCTGTTGAGCTCGTACCACATCAGCAAAACTGTAAATATCTCTTCCAGGATTGCGGTTGGGGCATGAAGCGCGGAATGCGGTGCGAGCTGGCGCCGACGCCCAATATGGGAGCCATAGGGGCCTGCCCGTACCATACTTGCAATACCGCGCCAGACTTGGGCAAAGGTCGCAAGACCGCGCAACAATCCGCCAGAGGCACGCGATCGTGCAAGACCGTGCAAGACTGTACGGTACATTTGTATAGATACTAGAAACACCATGAGTTATAATGTCAATCGCATGTCGCTGCCACTCAGGTCTCTGCGTTGATGCCGAGCTGATCGCCCTCGCGCTTCAGGCTACCCTTCATCCCATCCTTTCCAAACATGCTCGACCACTCATTTCTCCGCCTCCGAGTCATCGTATCTTGCCCGAAGTCTCACTCAGATGCAGCCCCGATGTCGAAATAGCGTATGCCACCCCACGCCCTGTGTTGCTACCGGCGTCCGTGCAGCTTGTCTCCTGGCCAAGCATCATTCATCGGGACTTCCAGACGCACCCAAGGTCCGAGCTCGCCCTCGACCTCTCCGATATACCTCGCATACGCGCGGAAACGAGCCTTCTTCGATGAGATGATGCAAGGAATGCCGATCTCGAGTGTCGCGCTGCGGGGTTGCTTCGCTGTGGGAGCAGACTCATGACGAATCGTGTCAGCAGAGCTCTTTCGCTTAAGAGACTCCCGGACTGTCGATACGCTGATCGAGGAGACGACGCTTGCTTGCTTCTCATGAGAGACAAGCGGAGATTTGGCTTCGGCTTTGATCGTCCCGACAACGTCCTCCTCGTCTTCGGAGGGCAGAGGCTTTACCCTCGTTAGTTTCGGCGAAGCGGTGCGCTCAAGAGAGCATGCGCCGGACATATGTCCATCTAATCCATTAGGAAAACTACATAGCGGCGAAGCCTACGCGGTCCAACTCCTCGTCATCGTGGCCCATCGGGGTCTCCCATCTTCAGGTCCC